CCCCCCCCCCCCCCCCCCCCCCTTGCTAGCTTGGTGTAATAACAATCCCCGCCTGAGATTCTACACGCTTCCTACCCATCTGGTAACTCGCTGGGTCATTCAAAAGGGATTATATACCCTGTCCGTCTCTTGATTATTTTATGCTCACGGACCAACGCAGCTGCAAACGTTTGACCCATCCACTTTAAAGCTTTATTTCTCTAGCCTTTTCCATTGCACTTACATCTACTTTCGGCCCGCGAATCCCGCCACAAAAAGCAGCAGAGTTTACTCCAGCTGTGTTGCGGGGCTTGCCATTGCCCTTCCCAGCAGGTATCCTCCCGCCCTCCTGCCTGTGCACAAGGAACTCTGGGACTTGTAGTTTAGTGAGCACCATCACAAAGAAAGCCTCCTTTTCTCCTGTTTGACATGGACTGTAGGGGAAACAGGGCTTTCTTTGCGATGATCCTCACCGGTACTGAGGAGTAGTACCTTTGGGAAGGCTCTGAGAGGGAATCGGTGGAAATCAGTTCAACCTTGCTGCCCCTGATTGGGAACTATCTGGGGATTTGGGGGTGCAGCCTAAGGTTTTGGGAGGGGGGGGGGCTTCAATGGGGTAGAATGCCATAGAGTCCACCTTCTAAAGTGGCCATTTTCTCCACGATCTCTACCACCTGGAGATCTCCAGCCGCCACCTGGAGGCTGGCTACCCTACAGTTATATAAGAATATCTCCAAATGGGATAGAGCAGGATGAGAAAGAAGTACTTTTCTCCCGTCCTCACAATACAAGAACTCATGGGTACTCAATGGAATTGCTGAGAGGTCGGGTTGGAACAGATAAAAGGAAGTACTTCTTCAGCCAAAGTGTAATTAACACATGGAATTCACTGCCACAGGAGTTGGTGGCAGCTAAAAGCATGGGCGGCTTCAAGAGGGAATTAGATAAACATATATGGAGCAGAGGTCCATCAGTGGCTATTAGCAATAAGGTATAGATTTGATAGATTTGATAGATAGAGTGCCTAAAGAACTATGGACAGAGGTTCGTGACATTGTACAGGAGGCAGCAATCACCACCATCCCAAAGAAAAAGAAATGCAAGAAAGCAAAGTGGCTTTCTGATGAGGCTTTACAAATAGCAGAGGAAAGAAGGAAAGCGAAAGGCAAAGGCGAAAAGGAAAGATTTACCCAACTGAACGCAGATTTCCAGAGAAATAAGGAGAGATAAGGAGGCCTTCCTGAATGAACAGTGCA